AATTCTTGGACTTGACAGTGCATATTGGAAGATTTAAGGATTGGTTTCAGCCTGTACAATAAGATGACATGATTTCAAGGTTACGAGATATTTTAATTGGATGTCTAACATACCTACATAATCTCTTCAAAGGCACTTAGAGTGTATTGCATTCTAAGTTTTTAGGGCTTCCTGGGGGAACTATTGATGAATGGACATCAAGTTCGGGGCATCCAGGAAGTCGCATTACCGCTTTAGTTCTTAGCCTCGAAACCGGAATGCAAAAAAGGATTTTCATCATTATCGCATTAACTTCTATCCTGAAGAGCTTCTTTTACTGTCATCTTTATAAGAGTTTCTTCTATGAGTAGGAACAATCGGCAAATATCAGGAACAAAAGTGGTGACTTATCGACGGAAGGGAAAAATGATGTTAAGATAAAATAAATTCAAGTATCAACTTCATTCACAAGGATAAGATGCGCTTCAAGGAAAAGATGCGTTTGAAATTAGCACTTTTCCATTCATCAGATGTCACTTTGGCTTCGTCCACGCGGCTGAAATCGCTTTGGCCTCTTTTCCCTTCTGTAACGAAAATGGTGATTGAGATTTTCTGATGTAAATCATACTCTTGAAGCAATCAAGTGCCCTTTATGTAATGTGTAATATCGAATGTCCTCACTGAAAAAAAACTTTTTCTAGAAACTAACAGAGTCAACTGAATATTCGTTATTGCGCTGTTTCGAAAAAATCGCAGCGCTTCTGCTATGACGTCCCGGTTTCAGTGCTCCAGCACGTCATCTTCTCTAGCAAAACACTGAATTTTTCCCCTCCTCCGTTTTGTCAAGAAACAATCAAAAGCTAGAATATGCTCTTATGAGTTAACCGAGGTACGCATGGTTCGGCCCATTCGCCTCGGTCTCACTCTCTCATGTCAATTTCGTTCAAATAAATATGCAATTAAAATGGCGTTTGAAAGCTAGTTATGCCTTGAAATAGACAGTAACTAGGGATACCTCAGAGTGATTAACCGAAGTACAAATAATATGCCCATTCGCCTTGGTCTCACTCTTTCATATCGTATTCCCATTAACAGACGTTGAGAGAAAGTTTGAAATATTTTCCATGGTATACCTATGCCTCTCAGTCAATTTCAAATTTACTCCCCTATTTGGTAGGTGTCATAAATATAAGCACAATTGAAAAACTATCCTCATGCCTCATGATCAAGAAACGCATTGGACCTAATCATAGAGGAAACCAATGTAAGCGATACAAAAACCAATTTTTTTGGATCTCAGTGTTCATATAACATAACTGTTCATATAACAGATAACTCTGTAAAGTTGAGTTTATACAATAAAACAGATGAATACGATTTTGATGTATTGAGGTATCCAAAGTGGGCTGCAAACATACCTATGTACCTCATTTTCAATACTTTCAAATCGGAGATACTAAGAATCTATAGAAATTGTACAGAGTACACTGCTTTTAAGACTAGAATTATTCAACTTTGTAGGATTAGTAAAGAATGGATGGGAAGAAGGGATGCTACTTCGAATTTTATGTTTGACATTTAAGGAAAACCCTTTCACCTTACGTAAGTTTGGCTTTCACGTAGCTATACATCTTCCATTGGTACATGAAGTACGGGAACATTGGAAAACACCCCCGTTACATAATAGAACTGTATACGGTCCTTTCTGGGAGTCCGATAGAACAGATAACGTGACACAAGGATAATTTTGGCCAATCCTTCCTTTAGATATTCAAATTCGAGCGAGAGAGTGCTAGTTTTGTCAAACCATGCAACTCATTCTCATCATTAACTGCTCACTGCTTTTCTTTTTACATGCTTGGGCTTCCCATTCTTACATTTATTAATTTCATCTACTTGAATATTCCAATACCTCCCTAAGCATTTAGAATCATAAGCTCTTTTACACTTCCTCGGGAACTACTGATGATGGGGCACCGAGTAAGTCATATACCCGGTCTAGTTCTTAGCCCCGAAACCGGTTATGTGAAAATCATATACTCCTATAAGTTAACATCATTGATATGAAACCATTATCTCCATCAACTTATCACCCTTTTCTTGTTTTTAGCATCTTTCAGCCTCAATAACCGATATAAGGTTAGTTAAGATAGTCAATTTTGGATGCTATAATCTTGATATCATTCTGTTGGGTAGTATCATTCTGGCTCTGTTATGTACCTGGATGGGTGTTGCTTGAATTTTCTATCACCATTGATTTTAAGTTTCTGTAGTGTTTTTTCTTTTTTTTGCTTACTAACTATCACTTAGTTTTTCTGCTGTTTTATGATAGGCACACTTCTTGTGCATTCAATAAATAAATCACTACGTAACATATTTTGGATTCCTTGTTTACCACTTGGTTACCCCTGATCCGTGGAACACGGCAAACGAGGAGGCAGCAGACGGAGAAATTATGATGAAATATACTGATCTTTGACTTTGGATTGCTGTCAAGTGGCAAGCGCTTTGGAACGCTGCCAAATTTCATAACGAGTGACCAAGCATATTTTCGTAAAAGGGTCACGCGTATTTCGAAAGGCAGTCATGAGTCGCAATAATTTTGAGGCTGGGTCGCCAGTGTTCGGGTGTGTTTTTTGTACCTGTTTTTTCGAGCTTGTTATCCCACAACGTGTCTTTCAGATATGTTTTACTCCAATTAGTTGTTTTTGAAATGATGCCAAATTGTGCAAAAGCGTGACCTGAGCTAAATTCATCTATGTTCTCAACTTTTGAAATGCTTCAGGTAATTTAAAACGGTCACTTTAGGATTGTCTTGTTTCCGCGTGTAGTCAAGAGAGCACGTGAGTAACTTGTTCTCGCTGGAACTTTTGGAAGCGTTTATCTAACAAAAGCCTTGCTTTTGTTTGTGTGACTGGGTGCCGCTGGTGCTTTCAACTAGGTAAGCGGCACGTAGGGCAATTCCATCGGGCAGGGAAACAGATTTTTGTACGTTTGAGACAGTTCTCAAAATTGAAGGTCCTAAAGTGACACGTAAGCAATGTGAGAATACGCTGTCACTTACGACTTGATTTTGTTGTTTTCTTTTTGTAGGAGTCGTAGTTGGTTTTTTTATATATAAGGTCTTCAAACGGCACATAGGGCATAAACTTTCTTCTAAATAGTTACTATCGGTCTGTCAACGGCACGTAGGGCAACCGATCGGGCAGGGAAACAGATTTTTGTACGTTTGGGGCAGTTCTTGTAATTTTTAAACGGTCTTCAAGCGGCATGTAGGGCACAAACTGTTTTTGAGATAGATAATATTGGTTTGTAAGCGGCAGCAATGTGCTCGGACAGGGAAACAATTTTTTGGACGTTTGGGGCAGTTCTTATGATTGACGGTCCTTAGGTGGCTCAGTAGTCGTGCTTTTCGAGGAGGGATCTTTTGTAGTAAAGCCTCATATTCCTCTGGCGAAAAAATTGAAGGACTCTCTGACAAAGTTCTTGAACGATTGATTTCGTTGTTGTCGGAATAGATTTTGAGAGAAAAGTGTTTTTTGTAGTACACATGATTGTCATGGGTGTATTTTTACTTCCAATACGATAGGAGTTCTGCTACTTGCTTAAAGATCTTTTATGAAACTTGTTGAGAAAAACTAAAAGAAAATTATCTTTGAGAGGGTAGAAAAGTGGGGGGGGGGGGGGTTATGAATGTCTCTGTGAGAAGGGGAAAGAGATTTGCAGAACGAGCGTGGTAAACGAGAGGAAAATAATATTCTTCATGCATGGTTGTAGCAGGAATTTCGAGAAATGCTGAATGATTTGTAGAGATTATCGCTTCTTCGAGCAGTTCTCCTTTTGTAGAATACTCTTGGCAAAAATGTTCTTAGGAAAGGAATAGGAAACTTATTTAGAAACATCTATAGTTACAACTAAGCCCTCATACTGTATCTGCCCCTACCCACTTGCTAGCGACCCTTAGGGTCGCTAGTAAATAAATAAAGCGCAACAGTTTTTCAATCTTTCACAAAATAAAAGAGCAGTTGCTCATCAAATACATTGCTTCTGACCACCACTCATCTGATTGCGGCATGAACTGTTTAGCAAAATGTCATATATGTGCGAAAAAGATATAATTTGAAAAATCAAGTTCCAGATTCACTGCAAAAGATGAATTTTAAAGGGAGAAGTTTAGGGGGTACAAGCTACCAAGATGGCTTTGTCCATCGATGTGGGTAGTCTAAAGATGAGCTCGAAAGTGGCTTCAGGATAAGTGCAAATGTCGAGAATCATAATGAAGGAAGGATTATTACAATTTTGGCTCATAAGAGTTCACTTTTGGACTTGTTGATTTCAGGCCACCCTGATGGACGGAGCCACCTTGTCCGCTTCACTTTCTGGAGTGATTTATCGCTTCAGAATCCACCTTTTGCAATGCTGCGCTATTATACAGTACGAAAATTCACAATCCTCGACTCAAGTGGACGATGCCGTCAAACAATTGCAGGACGAATATTGATAGAATATTAATGAATAGATTAAAATCCAAAACTCTTTAGGTACTGTGAGGAAGAGACAGCAGAAGAGGGGAGTAAATATATGAGTTGTTGGCTGCTATAAAAGAGTGGCCTTATACCTTGAATGCACCGTTCTTGTGTGCGCAGAATAGAGGACGCAAGTTACCCATATGCAAGTGAGGCGTATATGTACGATGCGCTATACCGTCATCGAAAAAGAAAAGAAGAAAGAGACAACAGAAAAAGAGAGAACGCCCAAAATTCGAGAGAAAGCCCAAAATATCCACTACAGGACAGATACGAGAATTATTGATGGAGTTCGAGGTGATTTTCGCACCACTAAGCTTGATTCTTTTATGGTTTCTAGACAAAATGTGTCACTTTTTTGGATGTCGGACTTATGCCTTTAAGACAAACTCTAATGAGAATATTTTTGTTTTGTACACAGCATAGTTTTCCTCAAAACAACAACGTCTTGCCTTGGAAAGTTCATTCGTTTATCACAGTGCTTCATACAAGGTGATGAAGAGTAGTTCTAGCAGTTCCTCAGAAAGCTACAGATGGAGAACTGCCAAGCCCACATCGTCATCTTCCGAAAGTGGTCCCATTAAGATGGAGGTTTGCGTTAACGCTCCAGTAAATTGAAACGTAAACGGCGCACTTTCAGGGTCAAATACTTCTAAGGCTGAAAAAGAAGCAGCCACATCGCGCTAGAAAGTACTATGCGATACTAACTAAGGGATATCTGCAACTGTTCACAAATAAAGAAAATCCTGCCTATCGATATCAAATCGACCTCTCGAAGGTAAATTTGGGAAAGCTGATTTCTAGCTTTGAAGCTCAGCCAGATCTTTGATTGGTGTGCTGACCACTGTACCTTTTAGGTGGTACTGAAGGATGAAGGCAAATCCATAACTATCAATTTTAGGGTGGGTGCCATTTGTTGGAGTGACTTATCCGAAAATCTGTTCTCCGTACACGCATTCATACTCAAAATGCAATTACGGTCCCTCACCGGTGTTGCAGCAATGGAAGGAAACCAACGACATTCACATTTGTTCGCTTCCAGCTTGGCACTGAGTGACTCAACGAACTCAACCTTGAGGTCACGAGTTGAGACAAGGGATGAATGAGATATAATTATCGTTACCATCAATGACTACACAAATCATTTTCGACAGCTAACGGTTCATTTGCATTATTTTTGAGACTAGCTGGCTTTCCCGGTCCAGCCCGGGCCATTGGTTACCTGCAATGCGAGCCCCCCCTCCTCTTATATGTTATGGATGACTCACCCTGGAACATCCGCTTCGAAACCGCTTCGTGATACCGAGGTGAAAATGAGCTTCACCGCCCTCCTTTACATGGCTATGTAAAAATGCTTGATTAAACATGATAAGCCTTCAATTCCTTAGAAGAACGTAAGCAAATCAATAAATCGATAGAAGGACTCAAAAAATCGCCGCAAAAAGTAGCCTATTATCTGCGCAGGGGTCGAAAACATATGTGTGCAAAGTTTCAGCTGAATCGGTTGAGTGGCGCGCGTTTCTATAACGCACATACCGTCCAAACTGACAATTTTTGAGTTTTATACATGTATAAATTAGGGGCGGTATATGGTCGAAAGCATCAGGAATGGCAGTAACTCGAGCGAAACCGTCAGTTACGAACTTACTTTTATGAAAATCAAATTTTCTCAGCCGCCATAAGCTAGTGCAAGATATCTGGGAGAGACTGCGAAGGGACGGAACTAAGTTTGCAGTCATTCAATAGCAATGGCTTGCTTAATTTGAGTAGAACTCATGGGGGATAGGATACTTGGTGGACGCGGCCTTTCCAGAAGAAACGCATATCAGCTTGAATCACATCAAACGCTGATTCCGAATCTGTCTACCTTATTTGCGGAGCCCCGCTGGACAAAAAGCTATGAGAGGTTTGGTGGCGAAAACTTGAATGCGTTTAGAAAAAATCATTACTAGAAGTTTCCTGCGAGCTCAAGTGGAACACTGGTGATTGTTAACCGCTCTACGAAGGGAAATGTTCCTGCTTACTACCCCCGTGCTCGCCATTATTCCATCTTCGCGCTGAAAAAGCCCCGCTATTGATTTTATTCTGACTAGACGTTCAGTTTTTAGATCATAAATGCTCATAACTCCTCGCCGTGAGGCGCTCCGCAGATAAGGAAGACAGATTCCGAGTCAGCGTTTAATGTGCTCAAAATGGTATGCGTCTCTTCTGAAAAGGCCACTGCCACCAATAATCATTCCCGTAGCTCAGCTAAAGCAGTTGTTGTCGAAGCAGGTTATCAAAAGAACAGCTGAAGTACCGGAGTGATGAAAATTTCGATGAACTCTTGACTTCGAAGAAAAAAAAATGATTCGAAGGAAAGAAGGTCGGCCTCATAAGCTCGTCAGGGGCTCATACAAAAGCTGGAAAGCCCGGTTCATACAACAGTGCGCTCCTTTGACATGTTTATAGTGAAGGAAATCACAAAAACTTATGGATAGGAAATTCAGATGTCCAGAGCTTCGGGAAAAAAGATTTTATTTCCACAGATCATCCCCTAAGGGGATGATGCATGCGGTCCCAAGAGAAAATTCAATCGTATCATTCACTTCTTGTTATAATTCGCCTTTAACGAAATAATAATTACTAAGTAAAAAATCGAATGAAAATGATCGTTTGGGCCAAATGATGATTATAATTACAGGTTGAATCACATATCTTTGTCCCAGTGGACGAAAATAGCTTTGAAAAGTGGAGAGACTGCATTTTCAAGCACCAACTTTACCGCAAGTCACGTACAACGTAAGAACAAAATGTAATCCTCTTTCTTTACTTTTATTTGCAGTAAACAGCAGTGTGCAAACATTTGTTTTCAAACTATTTGTGCTTTTTTTCGCTGCGAGCAGGACAAGGACAATAATTAGCATCTTCGCCGGGAGCTCCATTCTTCCCTGGTGCACCAGGAGCTCCATCGTCTGCATTTTTACCTGGGAAACCAGGAGGACCAGGTGGTCCCATTGGTCCTGGCGCGCCATCTTGTCCAGGATCGCCATTTTTGCCTGGTTCTCCTGGAGGTCCAGGCCATCCAGGCGGCCCTTGCGCACCTTCCAAACCAGGAGAGCCGATGACACCATCGTGACCAGCTATTCCGGGTACTCCTTCCATGCCTGGTAGTCCCTTGTTCCCTTGATCTCCCATAGGTCCATCCGGCCCAGGAGCTCCATCCTCACCGGGGTCTCCCGTTCTGCCCATAGCACCTGGGTATCCTGGCTCTCCTTGAGGACCTTCTGGTCCATCGGGTCCAGGACGTCCCTCTGGGCATCTGACACAGCCTCCAGGAATAGTGTATGTCACTCTGGAATGGTAACGGATAAGTTCGGAAAGTCGTTAGTAAGACAAAACTCACATCAAAGAGACACCGGTAGCGCCTGGCTTCCCAGGCTCCCCAGCAACTCCCTGCTCTCCACGTTTTCCAGGAATACCAGGCGGTCCCGGAGGACCTGGAGGACATCCCTGCGAATCCACAAGACAATTACAGACGGATCCTTCATAAGATCTTTTGTGTCGGGCAAACAGTGAGATGAATGACTCCGGTGCATCAGCTTTCCCCCCTTTAGTATGCAGAAAGAGGATACGATTCCAAGCGTCATCGGACATTGCCTAAACATAAGAATTTTTTCCATAGCCTACACATTTCTGTCCCACCTTCATTTCATGCACTCCAGATAGAATTTCGTCTCTCATATTGTCAATATCTTGCACAATAGAGCGGACTACAAATAAAGAGCAAATCATAGCCCCCAAAGCAAGAGATGACCCTATAGGCACAAAATACGAGACCATTGTCCTAGCAGCGGAAAATGGAAGATTAACGGACGCCGCAAAGAAGTTATCTGCACTCTTTGTCCCATCTTTTATACCGAGTCATCGGCCTACTTTTTTTCTGCAATTTGAACTGAACTTCGCATCGGACTTTTTTTTGTAAATTGACATTTGGATTTTGTAGATTGGATTTTTTGCAATCTTGGGGAGACAAAAGAAAACGGTAGCAACTTTTCAGGGTAATGGAAAGAAAAATGGAGTCAGAAAAGTCCTCAAAAGTTGAGAGCAAAGTTTCTGTCAGCACTGCGTAAGTTTCGTGTATTGACCGATGAAACTTCATGAGCGTCGTTTTTCAAAATGCAGAAGTGATTTTAATGATTGGAACACTATGGATATGTGCTGGAAGATGATTGATGACATAGAACGTAGGTCTATCGCAATTACAAATCATTAAATCAACGAAAAAGTTTGTCTGCGCAAAGTTGTAAAGTGTACTAGAATCCCTAATTTCCCAAGACGATAAAAAAATTTTTCAAGCAATCTGAGAATCTAGGATAGCAAGAATGGAGACAAACCAATTTTGTAATCCCATTCAAAAGTTTCAGAAATGCAAGGACTTTCAGTACAGGTTCTAGAAAAGATGGCTGCACTCGCTGTGGAGATGAGAAAGGTGGCAAATGAGTTGAATGCTGTCATAACCCAGTTCAAGGTAATTCGGAAAAGGTTATAGAGGAAAATGAAGCACCTGTTATTTAGCAAGGCAAAATCATAAGGAAAATGTCTGATAACAAGCCTAGCCCCACTACTAAAACGCAAATCAGCGCTCTGTCGGTGTCTACAGCACCAACGAAAGGGTTTTCAAAGATAGAAGAGGATGAAGACATTGGTTTGAGAAAGTAGTAAAATTTATATTTTTGGTTTGGATTGTTCAGGTACTGGTCTTTCGTCACACGACTACGACAGCGATTTACTTACAGCTGATTCCAAACCAAGCATACAAATATTGCACTCTCTACAAGCAACATCAAATGTGGAACAAAGAAAAGAGTAAGCGAATATGAATGCTTTGCAGTAAAAAGTCAATAGTGATTTCAGTGATGTCATCAAACGCAGCTTGAAGATATTAGGTAGAAGTAGCACAGGCAAGTTTCTTCAAGATTTTAGAGATCTCAAAAGCTGAGCCAGAGAAACATACTCTTTCATTTCAAAATCACCAAAAGATCATGTTTCCTGCTCTAACCCTCTTTGCAAATATATGGCAAAGACTAACAAATAGTGGCACTAGAGTTAACTAGCCAATCACACGTTTGCATGTCTGTCGTCGTCCGCTTGGCCCTGTCAAAACACTGTAATGAAAATCCCATCCCTATCCCTGTACAGCCTTTCCCTGTGCCCACTTCTACACTTCATTTCCCGTTCCCCGTGTTGTTTTCGAAATCAGCATGCCCAGTTACCCCCCTGTGCAAACTCCCAGCGCCCTTCAGCCCAAATTTTTGAAAAAAAAGATAAAATCGATTAAAGTAATGGATGATTCCAGAAACCGATATGTATTCGTAATCAGCATGCTCGATTACCCCCCTGTGCCAACTCCCAGCCCTGTAGCTCAAACTTTGCAAAAAATCGATAAAATCGATATCGTTCGATGACCAAAAGTAGCCTATGAGACGCTCACTGCCCCGAAGTATATGTGTGTCAAGCTTGGTCAGGATCGGTTCGGAAATGGAATTTTCTATTCGGAATACGTACACACATACATACATACATACCAGTGGCGTACCGAGGGGGGGGCGGGGGGGGGGGGCGCCCTCCCCCCCCGAGAATGGGTCGCGAAATTTTTGGAAGTTACTTACATGGGTTATAAAAATGTGCAAATGACTTGTTTATACTTGCAAATAATTAAAATAATTTTTAAAATTTTTTTAAAAATTCAAATTAGCCTTGTAAAAAAAATTTTTTCGGGGGCGTGGCTGACGCCACGCCCCCTTTTTCTGAAATTTCAGGGTTTGAGCCCGCGAAAATTTTGGGGAGCATACGAAAAAAATTTTCGGAGTGATAGACAGACAAACAGACATTCAGATCTATATATAAGATAACGCTTTGCTCAGAATAAAGCCATTGCCTTCAACACGTCTTTTCGAATGTCCGACCAGCACAGTTATTCCTTTTTTGTACAGAAATAAGCTTTCAGAAAATCGATGAAACTTTACAAGGCAATCAGTTCTCCTGTTTAATTGATCGCTGACCTTTCACTCAAAAGGTAAGGATACTTGGTGACCCAAGCCATTCATAATGGTTTGTATATCAAAAAATGCGCCTTTTAATGCTGGTTCAGAAAATGTGGATGGAGTTATGATTATTTTTTCAAAATTGAATTGCGCTACCGCGGAGGGTGAAAATCATTGATAAAAGTTTTTCTTTCTTCTTCAAATGCTGAATATGGTTTAGATAGGTATAAATACAACTCCTCAATAGCTTCAAACGGTAAAATAGATCAAATTGGGTGATTTCTACCTAAAAGCAGGCAAATTTTCTACAGAAAAAATTCCATAACAGCCTTCAAATAATCGTTTCGCAGATTTCGAAACAGATTTAAAATCAACGTTTCGAAATGCACCTTATGGTATACATCGCACTCCACATGGCCGGGGTCACCAAGCATCCCTTCCTTGTCAGAGGAACAATTCAAAGAAAAAGGGGATAAGTCAAAGTCTCGATATTATAGAGAAAGCTACCTAACTTAGCTCGGCCTTTTGATAAAAGGCATATTGAATCAGCTTCAAACGCTGATTCCAAATATGCTATTCCTAGCTGCCACGCACCATTCCGAAGCGAGTTATCGGCTTTTTTCTGCGCAAAAATGGCATACTACTGGACATGAGAAGACTACCTTAGATAAAAATCTGCAAGAAAAAATTGCTGAGGTAACGAAATAGTACAAATCCAATCTATTCTCACCAAAAAAGCTCAACGCAGGTGTATTAGCACGATGATGACGTGATGCCCTTAAGTCGATGAGCATGCAATTTTGCGAAGGAAAAAGCCCATAACTCGCTTCGCAATGGTGCTCGGCAGCTAGAAATAGCATATTTGGAATCAGCGTTTGAAGCTGATTCAAACCATACATGTCCCTTGCCATAAGGTTAGGTAGCGTCCCTTGTTAGCTGCATTTTCCATTGACCGTATTCATCAAAGAACTTGGAGGGTAAACTTTACCCCTAAGAGTAAGTAAGTTTTATCCCAAAAAGCATGAGACCCGTATTCGCGAAGCACAGGGAAGGCTTAATTTCGAGAATTAAACCTAAAACTCTGAGTGTGACTCTACTCTTGAAGGTAAAACTCACCCCAGAAAGCATTTAACCCGTACTCATGTACGTGACTTATCAGGGTAAATTTAACCCTAGCATAAAGCAAGCTTAACTCTACCCTAACACTTCGTGCAAACATAAAGTGATTTCTCGATACACTACTCAGCCCCAACGAGACTATTTCACACCAAATATATTTCCAATTATTATTATTATAAGGTTGTTAAATCCTTTATTGTATCGTCTAATCATGGTACATTGGTGGACAGAAATTTGATGAGGTGGTTTCATACTATGAAGTTTTTTGAGGTTTTCAGCTCAATGTTCGCCATATCAAAGCCTTTAGTTCGACATGTACTTTATTCGAAATTAAATCTTTTACTGTTATAACTCGGTTGAATATAATACCGGATGATAATATCAAACAAAAATGCGAAAGGATGTTATAGAAAGTTTGATATAGTAGGACTATAAATATGTGTTTGTTGTCAGAACATCACAATATCACTGGGAGTGAGTGGTGCATCGAGTGATACTTCGGTTTGTACAAAGTGGCACAGTGAATCTAATTTTGCTCTATGTTAAGATTAATCTTACCCTGATGAGCCACGTTGGTGAATACGGGTTAATCGCTTTCTGGGGTAAGGTTTACCCTCAAGGCTAAGATACCTTCAAGAGTCGTTGATGAATATAGGGTTAACCGCTTTCCGGATAAACCCTCCGTTGATGAATACGGCCAAAGAACTTTGAGAGTAAAACCTACCTTGAGGGTAGGGTCTACCCTCAGGATTCGTTGATGAATACGGCCACATGACTACCTTGCCACATGAAGTTTGCGTTGCCGTGAAGGAGGAGCATGCCTTCTTCATTTATCGGAGCAAAATGGTGGATCTGCGCGTTGATAGACGGTATCCAAATCGTTACTGTACGACTCTGCTAAACACCATACAGCGGCGTCCAGGAACTATACTACAGTGTCCCGGTTTATCCATCGAAGGAAATACTCTTCTAGTGCTTGTCCGCGGCCAAGTACTTGAAAGTTCATTACATCCCGACATTGCAACGACCTTTTCCTAAGGTATTACATAATCCACTTTGTGTCGCAAGCAACAATTCTATTAAGAAAATTGTTCCCGCAATGAAGCAGAATATCATCATGGGGCGGTTTTCATCTGTAACCGCAATAACTCGTAGGTTATCTGGCTATCAAGCTTTTCAATGACTTTGCCGTTTTCATTGAAAGCTTCCAACAGCTGTTCTAAAAGGCTTTACACGTCATCTTTAACATCGTGAAAACTCCTGCTGGAAGAGCCTAAAGCTCCAAAATGTTGGTACTGACAGAAACTAAAAAATACATGTCCTACTTACCGCTATACGTGTAGTCATGGTGTACATTATCTGTCCCACTTACCGCTATATGTGTAGTCATGGTGTGCATTATCAAGCTTGCATGAGCCACAAACCCCATGCATACGAAAAAATTCAAGAGACCCTTCAGGATAGAATCGATAACGATAAGCAAGAGTTTACATTCATTCAACATTATTTACAGAGCTTCTTCCTCCAAAACCAGTCACCGATGCGAAGCAGCAACCATCTCCGACCTCTACCGTCGAGCCAGCTGTGTAAGTTAGCACAAATCCAATCCAACTCATAACCACAACAAATTTAGAAGCTCTGTGACTGGAGACAGCGCTTCAGCAGGGCCTGATTTGAAAACTGCGAAAGCTCCTTCGGATGAGTCATCTGCAAAGTCGGGAAAGGTGTGCTGACAGCCTACAATGAATGCTTTTACAGCCATTAGCTGACTGATTTCAGCTCCGTAAAATTCGTAGAGCAGTCCTTCCATCACCGCAGAAGCCATCAGAGCGGATTAGTTTTGCTGTAAGAAAAAGATTCTGCTGCTCAATAAAAGCAAATCAAGTGTTTTGTAGGCACTCGGAAGAATGATCTTGCAACGAAGTGGTGTGCCTCTTTCTCATTACGAACCGCTTACAGCTTTACAGGTAGGTGATAGTCCTACTCCAGGATCACGAGATTTGCTCATTTTAGCTGCTTTGTGAGGAATTGCGACACTCAAAACTGCTCAGTGATGCATGCAGTAAAAATACCGCTGAAGAGAGAATGGTTTACGTAAGCACTAATGAATTACTTAAACTTGATTGCACCGATGATTCGCACAATCATTGAATGTCAGAAACAAATCAACTCGAGAACAATGTATAAATCTTGCCTTGGACTATAGATTCCTGCTGGGGAAAAGACAATATTGCTTGGGGATTATTCTTAGATTGTTGTAAAATTAGATAAAATGAAAATTCTTGGCAAGCAGTGCTAAAGCGTTTCACTCCGTTACCATAACATATCTAGTTCAAATGGTTTCTGCTTGTGAATTGTGAATTCACTCCTTTACCATGACATAGTTCAAATGGTTTCTGCTTGTGAATTATTTTCATAAAGTAGGGTGAGGAAGATGGGCCTTTCACTTACTTCATAATCACATTTTCTAACTAATTGCTCAAGATTTACTAACAGGTGGCTGCGTTTGCTTTTTCCACCTATTCCAACACTACGGGTCGATATCGAAAGTTTTTCAATCCTTTACTTGGAGAGACCTACGAATACGAGCAAGACGATTTCAAGTATCATGCAGAGCAGGTGGCAAAAGAAAATGCCAGAAGTTTTCTTAACGTCCCCTTTTGAGGTATCTCATCATCCGGCTGTTTCTGCAGGCCACGCTAGTGGGAATGGTTGGACGTGGTTTCAAACATTCAGTAAGCCATCCCTACCATCTATGCATCTAACTAATTGTGAACAACTTCATAGGTGCTGAGGTTACTTGGAATACGTGGGCACAGTCGTGCGAGTTCTGTCCAGAACGACCTGTCCGCCTTCAGCTGGGTGGAGAAGAATACTCATGGAATAAGATAACCACCCACATCGAAAATCTTCTCTGCACACCAGAACAACGTAAACTTTATCATGAGGGAACGATACATGTAAGGTGCTCAAATGGCGTAGACGCTCGGATCAACGTGAAGAAGAACAAAGTGCATTCGCTTACCATTTGCCTAAAAGCTAATTTTCTGCTTACTTAAGGAGGTCTATGGTGATGTGGCAAACGCTGATGGAGAGATTTTTTGCAGATTTATGGGAAACTGGGACGAAAAGCTTATCAGGTGAGTTCCACGAGAATAAACCTCACAAATGAGAAAGCATGCTACAAATGTTTAGTATTTGGCTGGACGGTAAAAAATGGGGCAGCTTGATTTTTATTGGATTTTGAAATTTTTTGTTCTACCAACAACAAGCAGGCTGCAACTCAAACGTCGCTTACATAAACCGACCTTCGCCTATTATTGTGGCAACGAGTTACCGCTCCTCTCTCATAACAGTACGCGTGGGTCGTGAAGAACTCAAGGGTTTTTGAACATTTCCCATTCTTGCACTGCTATACCGTAAGGTCATAGAGCAAATGACATACCAATCAGAAGAGCTCTTCATGCTCTTTCGAAAGATTTGTTAAACGCATAAGATTTCTTTTGGATTTAAGAAAAAAAAGCGAAAAAAACCTGAAACATAGCTATTTTTTGGCGCAATAAAAAACCAAAAAATCATGTTTTGCCCTAATTTCCGAAGATAGATAAAATGTGAGGTAAGCTACATATGGGTGAATAAAGCGTAAAAAGCTCTTTCAGATACCTCGAATGCATGTGTTCACCAAGTTTATGATCTGTGGAAGAGATTAACTTTGCATTTCAGCAAGTATTAATAATTAAGTATGTGAATGACCTCATATAGGCATTATTTGAAAGAGAATAACATATTCTAACATATACGAAAATTGGAAAGTCTAATCACTTCTCTTTCTTGAGAAACCTCCAATTATTTCGTGATTTGCCCCATTTTTTACCGTTCGCCCCAATATAACTAAAGTCGACTAAGTTCTATGCACAAGGGATAAATTTTGAACAACTGGATTACCAAATTGCGCGGGGGCTCGAATGGCGTGGTATGTGTGAGGTTCCAAACAGGACTCAAGTATCATTTGCGAGGGTTTCAATCCATTTTGTTCGAACAAAGAAGCATAAGACATACGGAGTACACAGAATATAGGTAAAGGAAGCAGTGGAGAGTGAGAAGAAGGCAGTATATCGACGGAAAACTGACTTCGTTTTTCTATTATCTGAATTGTCGGGGAAGACAAGTTTGAAACGTGGTTCAACCTTAGCTATCTCCGCCTCCTACCACCTTTCTGATTTCTTTGGAACGCTGTTCTGCTTTGAGAGTAAGCAGTCTGTGTTTAAAATCGATCAGACTAAACTTTGAAAAGATTTGGTAATTTTCACATCGCTTCTGATATCGCGCGAAACCCTGTTCCAAAATTCCACTTACCACTAGACCACCTCTTTCAATTAATCCTAATCTTTGTATTTCAGGGAATTGGCCAATGGAGAAAGAGAAGACCTTATTATTGTCTCGAACTGGCCCATACATGCTGAATATTTTGGTTTTTCCGACTTCACTATGGGACTCAATCAACTTGACAGTGAGGACGAGCAGCTGCTACCTCCAACGGATAGCAGATTTCGACCTGATGTTAGACATCTGGAAGATGGCGATTTGGACAAAGCGACTGCATACAAGATGGAGTTGGAAAAGGTAGCAAAGGATAGCTTCTTTATTTGTGCGCATTTACATAATTATCAGGCACAACGAACCAGAGGCATAAATGAGGAAACACACAAGCCGTTGTGGTTTGAGGAAAAAGAAGATGAATTTACCAAGACGAAGGTTTTTGTCACTAACGGGAAGTACTGGGAAGCAAAACAGACTCGATTTGAGAAGCAAAGGAAGGAAGATGCGTTCATACCCATATTCAATGTAACAATTATCACATAAAGTACATTCACTTAAGTAAGAAGCTTCATTACAAAGTCTATAAATGAAGATTCTTCACTAAAATGTTCAGCACTTCAATTAAGTTGTTGCTTGGAGACCACCAATCGCTGCTGGATATCTTCAAATTCCATTTCCCGATGAACAAGAACTAACGATTTCCGCTCTAACTATGTTAAGGTCTAAAAAAATTAGGATAAATAGGGACGCAGTGTGTTAGGCACTCTTATGAATAATACATGATATATCATTAAATTATAGATGAAAGCAGCATTTATAAGAAACAAATGGGAACAAATGATACAACGGAAAGGGGGGGGGGCACGCGGAAGGCGACAATCGGCGAAAAATGGAGGCTGTGTATCATCCGTCTTAATGACATTCACGGATTTCTACTTGTGGCATTGAGTAATGTATCTGCCCCCACCCCCCCCCCCCCCCACCCGTAGTCTCCCGGGGTGTCCGGGGTGTCACTTCAACACCGGAGAGTTTTTGATAGGCACAAAATTGGGGATTGTCGCCTTCCGCACACACCCCAACGAAAATAGCATCAAAATTTGGTCTATTTCCTTTGAAGAAGTTATTTGATTCCAGTAAATCAGAGAGAGTAGAGTCACACAAACTTCTTCTCTCCAAAAGCATATCGAGTGATGTCGAAGTAGTAGCAATGTTGAAATCACAACTTTAAAATTGCTTAATCCAAAATCATTCCTTTGCAACATTAGATTTTGAGAGACGAGCGCTTCAAGGATAAAACGCATGACCCCCAGTCCTCAACCTCACCTGCCCAACTCGAATTTTGCTAAAAGTAGGCGAAATACACAGTGTCCCAGGAAAATGTGCCTACTGTTCGATTGTTAATACTCTCTTGTCATGAAGTTTTTAGAAAAGCTTCAGGCACCATTTTGTAAAGCTTGGCTTCAACTTAGGTCTCAGTTAGAGCGAATTACTGATCGCTCTTCATTACTGTAAAATTAGATAGCATTTAAATACGGTTTCGAGCCATGGAGGGCCATAGTTCGATTCAAAAGGGAAACAAAGCGACCTGAAAACTCTCACACTAGGCTAATTAGAGTTGCTGACTCTACATAAGAACTTTGCAACTTAAAATACTGCTTCCTTGAGATATTATGCCAGGTAAGCAATGCCGTTATTTCGATATTTCTGACAAGGGAACGATACTCGGTGTTCGTGGCCTTTTAAAGGCACCGTCCACCCAGATTTTCAACTCCCACGTTTTCATCGTTTCAGGGCCTTCTCATGTCCCTGATTCCGAATATGAAGTCGAGAATGCGCGAAAACCCCGACAATTTTATTTTATTTTTATTTTTATTTTAGTTTACACTCACGGTGCACCAAAGAACAACAAAAAATAAAACTCTAACACGTCGAACAATAACATGATAACAGCTTGTCCATGGCTTCAGGGAGATAAACGATGGACGTATAAGCAACCACTAACCTAAGGCCCTTTAAGATATAGCGAAATCTGTTTCAAATGCCTGATGAGTGTAAATATGGCCTGAGAAACAAAGAATGACTGGAGAGTATTGCATCCTCCAAAATTATTCTGAAAACCCCTTTTTGAGTGCCAGCGAGCTTACGGGCGGAAACTAGCTGACAGACCCCAGATGAGTATACCTTTTGGAGGATAGCAAGACTCTAAGTTGAAGTGCCAGCTAAAGTTTGCCAGTAAGGCATAGAAGTAAGGCATAAGCGAAAGTAAACTGGGCGCTTAGGTGTGACTGTAATAGGAAGACAAGAGGTAAGAGGTAGACAAGAGGTAGACAAGAGGTAGAATCATGTAAGCTGACATACAAAGCAAGCTAATATGATCGTTAGTGAAGCAGGGTGTCTAAGTAGTGGCAGTGAACAAACGAAAATAAATAGCTGGGAAGAAATGACTCAATGTTTTTTGACTATGAAAAAATGAAGTGAAATGCATTTGCTACGTAGACTGGGTTGAAGATTTGACGAGGTATGGAGGGCTTGCGAGGTGTGGGCGACTTGACGACTTGACGAGTTGACGAGGTATATATGACTTGGCCAAGAATGAGCGACTTGAGCGACTTGACGAGGTACCACGACTTGGGGAGGAGTAAGAGACCTGACGAGGTATGGCGACTCGACAAAGTGGGCGACGTGACCAGGTATGGAAGACTTGACTAGGTAACGGCTTGGCGAGGCATGGAGGGTGGTTGGAACAATGGTGGATGGCGCACGTACTCATAACATCTAAAAATCACAGATATCGAGTAGCTGTAACACATTAATATTTTGTAATCTTCTTTTGAATATTTTGGAGTTTTCACTGGAAACGATGTAATCCGGTAGGACCGAAAACCATCGGGTTGTTCGACAAATGAAAGAGTTGAAAGTCATCAAAAATCGTTTTTTTCCCAATTTGCGATAGTAAAGACCAAACATACCTGATCGTTCGCTACACGGTCTGAATATCCAAAACTTGCTGGCTTTGAGTCTTGTTTCTAAGCGCAGAATTCGAAAACACAAAGTCAGATCATTCAAAACACGTCTATACAGTAGGCTCTGCAGGTTCAGTTTATTTAACCGTAACCGATAGGAGGGTAGAGCTTGTGGGTAATTAGGATTGGGAAAACATCTATAGAATAATATTCTGGTGAACGTTTTTTGGATTTTTTCGACTCTTTCGATGTTTCCTTTTGTGAATGGACTCCAAATAGGCGAGGCATATTCGAGATGCGGCAAGACATAGCTTTTGTAGAGCCTCAAAAAAACCTCAGGATCATTGCTATGTATGCCACGAATAATAGTAAAAAGAGTCGCTGAAGACTTTTTGATAACAAGATCGATATGAGATTTGAATGAAAGGGAGGCGTCAATCATGACACCAAGATCACGCATTGGGTTTGCGAATTCAAGACCGACACCGCCGCAGGAGTAGGTTCGGCAGGGTGAATCCCCAAGGTGCATAACGGTAGTCTTTGAAGCGTTTAGAGGGATGTCCCATTCCTTGGACCAAATTTCCATTTTGCTGATGGAGGAGGAAAGTGCCATGAAGGCTTCACTTTGATGATCGAAATCATAACAAGAATAAATTTTTATGTCGTCAGCAAACATTTGTATTTTGACACTTGGATGGGTTTTCAGGTATGCAGGTAATTCAGCAACGTAGGTCAAGAAAAGTAACGGTGATAGAATTCCACCCTGAGGGACGCCACTACCACAACGGTATCGCTCAGAATACTTGCACCCAACGCGCACAGTCATGCCCCTATCCTCCAAGTAAGAAGCTAGCCACTCTAGGAGAGTACCTCTTATGCCATAGTTTGCCAATTTTAAGAGAAGCTTGTTGTGATTTACTTTATCAAAAGCCTTTGAAAAATCAAAATAGATGATATCTACAGATTGACCATTGTTGAGAGCAGTGGTCCAGTCAAATATAGAGTCAACAAGCAAAGTAGTTGTCGATGAGCCCGGAAGAAATCCGTGTTGCTCACGAGGAATAACATTATGCTCATCGAACCATTCGAACAGCTTTCTTCTGATTATCTTTTCGAGGATCTTACCAGCAGGAGGCATTATACTAATGGGTCGAAAATTCGCCAAGGTACCATTACATCCTTTTTTAGGAATAGCCGTAACTAAGGCTTCCTTCCAAATAGTAGGTACTACACCCGCTGAGAGAGACATTGAAAATGTACGAAAGAGGAATGCACAAGGTGTGGGCACAGTTTCTATAAACGATTTGAGGAATACCATCAAAAGTAGTAGTCGCAACTGACTTCAAGCTTTTGAGTATTCCAAAGACAATGTCAGGGTTGACTGACACTTCTCCACACGATTCAGACAGGTTGAACGTAGAAGATGACCCTGGATCGATTCCTTGAGCATTTATGAATACCTTGGCGAAGAATTTACCCAGAGCTTCTGCCTTCTCCTGGTCCTCTCTATACTGATTTTCGGCTTCATCAATCAAGACTGGCAGACTAGTCTCTCTTTTGGGAGTACGACATTTGAAATAACGAAGCAATGCTGTGTTAGAACGTCTAGCCAAAAGAATTTCTCGATGGCGCAAAAATTTTTTGAGATGATAATTTAGATCGAGGCAAACTTTCTTATATAATTCATCACACATGGGCTTAGGTAATGAGGCAAATAGCCGAGATTTTTGTTCAATTAAATTGCGAATGTGAGTGGGATAGACTTGAAAAGGAGCTTTCTTTGAGGTAAAAGGTACACATTTGGCGAAGATACTATATAAAACGGAGCAAAAACGGTAATATAAGTCGTCAACTGATGCAAAACCATGAAAAATATCAATCCAGTCTACACATAGAAGTGCTCTATTCATTTCTAGATAATTTGCTTTGTAGAAATTAGGAAATGGCAAGACGAAACTTTTGGATATAGAAAAATGCGTGTGAAAAGCTACGACATTATGATCAGAAGACCCAAAAGGTGGCATAATGCGAATGTTATTTACAATATCACTCGTGGAAAAAACAAGATCAATCGCTGCATTATCATGAGTCGGAACATTCACATTCTGTACCAGCTGACAGCTAAGCAAGAGATTAAGGAAATGCTTATCTTGTGGGTTTCTACCGAGAGATATTGCATCAATATTGAAGTCCCCCAAAATGATCGTTTCGTTTGGAACTGAACAGAGATCAATAATCGTATTTGAGAGAGATTCATCATCTTTCATTGTTACAGAGGGAGGTCGATAAACCGTTATGAATCTTAAAGGTGAAAGAGAGGCAGTTAAAAAGAGGTCTATGCACAGTATGTCCGAGTTTAGATGTTGATCAATATAAAGGCGTTGTACTGCAAGATCATTTTTGACTATACAGCAGACCCCACCGCCTTTTTTCCCCTTTCGGTCAGATCGATGGATAGAGTATGGCAGATCAATCACAATTTCGGAGTCAGAAATTCTAGAGGATAACCAAGTTTCCGTGACGCAAACGATATCGGGACGGTAGAAACATAAAAATGCATGAAGAATGTATAACTTATTT